GCTAGCACAGCAGCAGGGGAAGTATGTGTGTTCATACAGCAGTAAGACTTGGCACATCCTCATGAGGTTCGTTCTGTGCCATACGCATACCGAGAAATTAGGCTTTGTAAATGAGTATGGTAATTGCTAATAAGTGCTAATCACGCTTAGCAGCAGTAACTGTCTCAAGACTGCACGGAATGATCGCTCTTAGCCTCTGAAGGTGAATCTGAGTTTTCCACCAATTCCTCCTTGGTCTGACTTTTAGAGAAAAACAGGTATAACTGTTTTCCATTGATAATATACAGCCAAAAGGAAAAAATCTGTTGCAAGTCTTAATCTAGTAAACAAACATTTCCATCTCGGTCCTTTAGCTGAAAGGTGATTTGTATGATCTATGAAAATGTGTTGTCTGTTTTTCATGCAAAAGACATATTTTTTTAATGTTGCTATAAATGCAGTAAAAACCACCCTTTGAAATAGTTCTCCTTCAAAAATATCCTTGAGGAAAGGGTAGAAACTCGTGGTTTATTTTTCCCATTGCTTCAAAATTACCTTCTTACATCTGCAGGAAAGGCTCTCTGGGGCCTGTTGAACCATGAAAGCGTATTCATTTAGGGCATTGGGTGCCACAGTGATTTTAACCAAGTGTTGAATGCAGTGCTGGAAAAAGAAAAAAGAAGGAGCTTGTGTTTTTGTTGTTTTGCTTTTTTGCAACCTGGCATGAAGAATGAGGTCAGGAGATGCTTGGGAAAGACCCAAAGAGAGAGCTGGAAGCATGCCAGCCTCACTGAGTCATAACACACATGCTTATAAGTATCTTTGTACCTTACAAAGTCCTGACTTTTTAAATAAAAACATCACTGCTGTAAAAGTATTTACATAAAAATTAAAGCAAATAACATGGAGTGCTGCATGCATTCTCCCTTGCTCCAGCTTTGTTTTACCCTGTGAACTGTGACTCCTGTTTGCTTAAGGCAAGGCTGGGCCAGGCTGAAGAATGCTGTATCTGCAATGAATGAAGGGAGAAGTTTGAGTTGTGCTGCTGCTGCTGTCACTGCCCGAGGAGCTCAGCCGTGCTCATGATTTCAGGATGACATTTCACCTGCCCAGGAGGTGGTGTTAAGCCTGCCTCTTGCTTTTGCTGTTTAAAAATTAATCTTTAAGTATAATTTTGGAAATAGGAAGGCTGTGTGCAGGCCACATGTGCACACCAGGCAGCTGGACTGGCAGGGAACAAGCACCTAAGGTGTAGGTGAATGGTGAAAGGTACAGGTGGTGTGCATTTTGATTTCTTTGCAAATATATACGCATTATGTATTGATGTGCGTGTGTGTGTATATATATATATATATATATATATATATATATAATTACTATATATTGATTAAACATGTATTATGGTCGCTGAAGTTCAGACATATATGTACAGTGTATGGTTCCCTGGAATGGTATAACCAAGAAGGTGGCATGATTTTTTTTTTTAACTTTAATTTAAAGGAAATGATACGGTTGTGTTTCTTAATTCTGCCCCAGGGTTCCCTGGCTGTTTGCGTCTGTTAGTTTTATTCTGAGTTTATAGGATAATCTTATTGTCATACTGGGAGGCAGAAATCATCTCAGCTAACCTGCACAGTGCAGGCTGTGGGCTTGTGCTGATGAACCCACAGTTTATGATGTTATTCGGTCCTTTTTTTGGTCTGAGTCAATAATGGACAATCCATTAGTTCCCCATAAGTCGTTTCAATGGCTAATTACTTGCACAGTTGCAGAAATTGTTCTTTAATTCTGTCTTACATTTTTCTGAATTGAGTTCCAGCTGTTGGACTGTGTTATAGCCATCTCTGCCAGCCTTGAGAGCCATCTATTAACAAATCTCTACTCCCTGTTGAAATATTTAAAGGCAGCAATTGAGTCAGTCCTTTTGAGCTTGAGGTGGGGGTGGCGGGGTGGTGTTGAGAAGTTACATAGATTAAATTCCTCAAGGCTTTCACTTGACCATATTTCTAAACAGTTTTGGGTGTGTGTATGTTTTGCTAAAGTGAGATAACTCTTGCAGTTGGTGGTGGTGTGAGTGCAGAGCAGGCACACGAACACACAACAACTCTCCCTCCACTGGGGTGATGAAGCAGAGGCGATCTGACCCATGTAATTATGGTTAAATGTATCAGGAGCTGGAGCTGTGGCTCAGCTGTGCTCTGAGTCAGCTGCTCTCCAGCATTTGGCTGCTTTTGTGCCATAGGCTCCAGGGAAGATGCGCTTGGTGATTGTGAAACCTTTTTATTGCTTTTGCAATACAGAACCATGTGAATACAGGTGTTGGCAGCAGCGTAGCCCCTTATTTTGTTGACCTTGGATAGTACACGGTGTTGGAGAGCTTGAGGACTCTTCTGCAAGCTGGGTGGTGTGTGCAGGGGAAGCCCACTGCAGAGCAGTGAACGGAGGTCAGTGGGTGCCACTTGACAGACTGGGCTGGTGGGGGCTCTGGTGGGGAGAGAGTCTCCATGTGCATTTCTAGAGGCAGCACTACTGTCTCATGGGGCAGATGAAGCCAGTATGGTTCATCTGGAGTTTTACAGCTCCAGGAATTTTGTGAAGTTTCTTCAGGGAATGCAGAGGTCTTAGTTCCCACCATCTGGGCCCCATCTCTTGGCTGGTGGCACTAATGCTCAGGCAGCCCCCAGGCTGGTGGGACCATGTTCTGCATGTTGCTGGTACCAGGGAGACACATTGGCTGCCAGAAAATTTGGTATCAGGTTGTGCGACATCCTTTGCCTCCTTTGCCTCCGACATATTGCCTGGGAGATCCAACACATTGTCTGGGAGATGACTTCAAAGGAGGGTGGCCTAGACCAGAGGCCACTGGTGTGCAGTGGTGAGTGCCTTCCCTTCCACAGGAGGGACTGTGGTGGCCTCCTTCCCTTCCACAGGAGGGACTGTAGCCAGCTGGTGCCCAGGCACAGGTTCTGTGCTCAGTAGATGCTGATTTAAAGACCAGTCCTATCAGCAGGTTTCACCCTGTCTCTGTTGAAGCAACAAATTATGCCATGTGCTCCTTGCAGGGAGACGTTGTGACAGAATGGATTTAATTTCTTTAGTTGGTGGGGTTTTTGGTGTTTTTTAGTTTTATTGGATTTTTACCAGGGTAAAAGAGCCAGTGAGATCAGGAACCAATGGGTGGTTTTGTGCAGCTTCCATTATTAATGCCAGTGAAGGGAGTGAGTAGTGTCCACAGGCCTATGTCCATACCATGGACACGGTTGGAGGTGCTTATGACTGTTTTCTAACTGAGCCTGACTCTCTTAAGGATTTAAGTAGTTCTGTGAGCATGATGTCGCATTGGGCCTTTCGTGGAGGGAATATAAATGAGGGCATCCTTGGTCAAGCTTTGTTAAAATTGGGCTGCAGCCCTCTCTGTTTAGTGTTGCTTCTGGTTAGGGCTGAAACTGTGTTGGCAGCAAAATGGTAAGCCAGAGTTGTTTGTGTAAACCTTTGTTGACAAAATAACTGGATGTACTACTCCTTTTAAAATGCTTGCTGAGAGATTTTTTTTGTCTTTTTTTGGTTGCTGTGGGTGTTGGGTTACAAAGTTTGATTTCTTGGCCCAGAGCTGCCTGTACTCTAAAACTCTCTGGGCATAGCTCAGCCTTCTTCAAAGTGTAGTAGCTTGTCCCTCGTGCGAAATGCACATCCTGCTGCCAAAATGCTGGCTGCTTTCACTGCACTCATTGTGTTGCTTTTTTTGTTGTTGGGGTTTTTTTTGTTTTGTTTTGTTTTGTTTTTTAACCCCTGCCAAGTAATTTGTCCTAGAATTTTTTTTGGGGGAGTGTGAGGGGTGGAAATGTTTTTGATCACAATTCAGCAGCTGAATGCCAATATGTCACTAGAAGAGCAAAGAAAAATCTATTGCTGGTCACCCTAAACTATGCTTATTTTTTTGGGAGTTGGCAGAGTCAGTCTTTTCTTTGGCACATGGGTGGTCTTAAGCTCTCCTGCCTCCTGGTGGGGATTGCTGATGGGGCTTGTGGAGTTTTCAGTGTGAGGTGACAGTAACAGTACGCTGTTGTACACTTACTGCTTAAGGTCTGCCTAGAAATGATAATCTTTTGCTTTGGCAATGATGTAGCCCCTGAGGAATTGAAGGGCAAGAATGCTCTAATAGTGATTTCCAAAGACCCCAAGACAATTACGGGGCTTATGAAAATATGATGACTTACCTATGTCACTTATGTCTTTTTATCAATTTGCTGACTTAATTAATTTGAATGCTAAAGGCTTTAGGGAAATGCTTTTCCAGGGAGTTAATATTTTAACTAAAGTGAGTACTAAATTTGACATAGACTAGTATTCCTTTTGATAAACTAGCATTTGTCTCCTAAAAATAAAGTAGAAAACATATGCCCCATGAGCCAAATTCCACTTGGCTTTATGCTGAGATAAATTCAGAATAACTTCACTGTTGTCAATATAGAACATCATTATAACACTCTAGTTAATGCAAAACACTAAACTGGAAAGAAAAATAACCTGAGCCAAGAGACGCCAACTAAGGCCACAATGGCAACAAGAGAAGTTGGTTCACCAAACTTGCCTCTTCAATTTCTGCATCACCCATTTTAGTGTTTTGTTGGGGCTTTTTCCCCTCCTCTTAATTACCTGGGAGAACACTTCCTGGCTGTGATAAATTTCTCCGTGAGGGATTCATGATAAGGACTTTAACAATTAAGTTTTACCTCCTACCTAACACCTGGTACATGTCTACTGCTGTTTGCTGAATAAAAGATTAGAGGGACTAATGCTCTGACTTGATATTACTTACATTTCTGGTCTCTGTTAGAGCTGATCAGGTTGCATTTTCTTACAGAGTATTTTCAGATTTTCTTATTTTTTTTTCTCTTTCACTGAATTAAAAATAATCTGTATAGCCTTAGGCTTTGAGGTTTTATTTGCTTTTGTTTGGATTTTTATTTTGTTTCAGGTGCATGCAACTAACGTCTCCTTTCTTTTTCCATCTCCTTTAGGATGACAGTGATGGGATTCCCTGGTCAGAGGAGAGGGTGGTGCGGAAGGTCCTTTATTTATCACTGAAGGAGTTCAAGAATGCACAGAAGCGGCAGCACAGCGATGGCATTAGTGGGAGCCTCAAGGCAGTGAACGGTGAGACACCTCTGTGGTACTGCTGGAAGGAGTCAGTCCTTCTTCCATGTTGTACCAGGGAGGCAGACCATTGTACCATCTGGCATACACTGTGCCCTTTTGATCTGCATGGAGGAACTTCTTTCTGGAATGCTTGAAATGTCCGAGTAGAAGAATCTGTATGTTTTGTTTTTTGGCTAACTGATTTAGATGGGGATCAGGGGGAAGGGGAGGTTGGAGGACTGCGACAGGCTACCAATCCAGAGAAAAGGAGCCCTTCTAGTCAGTCTGCTTCCTGATGTACTGACTATGTCAGGTAACCATTTAGAGGTGATTGGCTTCAGTTGCCTTGGGGATGTACACTTGGACAGAATTTACGTACTGTCACTTAGATGTAAGAAACTGGCTTGCTAGCATCTATCTCTGGAGTGATCCAAGTCCACAGGTGAAGTGGCACAGGATCTACATACAGAGTTAAAGGGCTAAGAGTACACAAGCTCTGTGACATTGGACTCCCCTAGTTTAGTAGCTCACAGAGCAGTTGTTTAAAGGTATGAAAAGGAGATCCGGATAAATTTATATGACAGGAGCTTGAAAGGACTTGAATTTTATTTCTTTAATGCTCTAGTCAGTTATTATCTGTTGCTTCCCCTTCCCTTAAAGCTTGCTTTAAAAATCTGTGGTATCCTGAGAGGTGAATATAAAGTGTGTCTCTTTCAGATTCACTTAGACCCTTACTTGAAAAGGCTTTGTCATGCTAGCTTGAGCCTTGAAAGTGATGACTAGCAGGATTCAGATTTCTGGGCAGGCTTACAGTTTTTACTCACAAGAGCTTATTTGTTTCTTTATGGAGGTTTATGGCAGTTCCTTTTAGGCATGTGCATAACTATACATGTGCTAATGCATTAAAACAGCAGCTGGGTGCTTGCTTGGTAGGTTATTCATATTTATATGTAGCTTGTGTTGTTGACATGGGGAGTCAGATTCCACTGAGTGTTACTGCCAACAAGGCAAAAAGGTAGGGGACTGGCTAACTGGATAACTACAGGCAGCATGACAAAGTTACTGTATTGCGTAAGAAATTGCAAACTCCTTAATGTGATTAAAGAAGACCTCAGACTTTCCAGTTCAGTAATAATATCAAACGCTGATCTGATGGGAAGGGGCATCTAGGTTTAAGAGCAAGCCATTTATAAGCTTGGAGGTGTACACAAAACAGCAATGGCTTTTTTCCTTCCAACACCTCTGCATCATTGATCTTCTGTCAAACACAATTTCTCTTGGAAACTTTCTTATTCCATTGTGGGAGTTTGTTTAGTCAAAGGAAAAAAAGTCCAAAGGCATGAAGCACAGTAATTGTGTGTTAGGAGGCTTTGATGATGTGCCAGGTTACGGGATGACTGAGGTTTTCATGGTGTCTAGTTTCTCCAAAGGCAGCTTAGATAAAAAGTGAGTTAGCTGGGAATGATGTGTCCATGCAGGTACCAGACATGGAGTATGCCACTGGCTTCCCCTGGCAGCAGCAGAGCTCACATCTTCAGAGCTTTGCTCCTTCACAGGAATAGATGACCAGTTATTTGAGGGTTAGGGTTTTGTATTTGAGCCAGAATGTTATTCCATGTTGCTCTTTCTGTTTGCTAAATGATTTTTTAAAAAGTCCTGTCTTGGCATTGTTCTGTTTCAACATCTCTGTCCAAAAGTAATTTTTTTAACATTGATATTTAGAAGAATGTTTCATTATGCAGAGAAAAGTGAGCAAAAGGAAGGAGGATTGATATTGTGCAGTGACATCAAGAAAATCTATTTGAAAATGCAATTTGTTCGTTACATTAAAAAAAAAAAAGTAAAAAATTCAAATCCCTGTGTCTCTATGGACTGGGAAAAAGGCAGGTCATCCTGAGAAATTACTGAGCTGTTTTGAATTCAGGGAAATGTGTAGTATTTTAAGGATGAGTCTTAGTTCTGAAATTTCATATTATTGGGAAGAAAAAATGTTTTCTTGTATGTGTCCTTTGTTTGACTTTCAGGCCACATCCATTGTTTTTTGCGTGTTGCTCCAAAGGGTAGCATGTGGTTAAATACAGTTTTATGTGAGCGACCCATTTTTAAATTTGTTTATTTATATGACTGTTAAAAATCAAATAGGTCACCTTTCAGTGCCTGGCCAATGTAACCATTTTCAAAAGTGGAAAGGAAAGGTTTAGGCTCTCTGAACTCCCTGCTCTGTGCAGGAATATGGATTGGTCTTGTGTGTTTCTAGTAGCTGAGGGGACTGCAAACAGCTGGGTAGGATTTCATCTTCGTGCCACCATCTGTAGTGCAGAGAGGCTTTCTCTGGTCTAGTTTTATAACTGCCATTCCTTACATTTACTCATTCATATACTTGCAATCTGTTCTAGTAGAAAGTATTTATTTGTAGCAATAGAGGAAGGTAAAAGGTGCACCAGTTCCTTGCAACCTGTGTCTTTAGGAAATTTTTATGCATTTGGAGCAGCTGAAGTTTGATCAACATGCTACAAAAGCTCCTTTGCCAGTGTTTGTGAAGCTGCAGCTAAACTTCTATGAAAATGATGGTCAATTGTATTTCATCTGGTGAGTTCAGTACTATCATTAATGATTTGGTAGCTGGAATAATGGTGCCTCTTTGATAGTGTGAAAAGCAAATTAATTTTAAATGTGGAAGATGAACTTATTAACAGCAATCTTTTCTGTATTAAAGTTTCTGCAAACTCTGATGTGCTGGTGGTGGCGCAGAGACAATTAACTTCTGTGCCTCTGAATAATAAAAATTAAATTTAAAATAAATAAGAATTGAAATTGCTTCTGGCAATTTTATGTATGATAATACCATAGCTGTCTCTGTCTCAGTATTAAATCTACTTGTTATCCTGAAAATAACCCGACATAATTTGTATCTGAAACTCCATTACTTAAATGGTTCTGATTAAAGGGAAAGGCAAGTGGGTATATTTTGGTTGTTGTATCAGTGGATACATTGCATGTGTGTTCATGTTGACTCTGAATATTTCCAGAGTATAGATGAACACCATACAGTATGCCTTTGTTTCCTACATGTTCCTCTTCAGCCCTTGGGAATATAAAATTTGAAGGAGGTGCTTGTGCTGGTTGTCAAGAAACTCTCTGCGGCCCTAAAAGGGATACTGGAACTCTGATTATGGAAACAAGGTCATGCGCTGGAAAAACCCGGTGGGATTTCTTTAGTGATTTTGATTACTGCTGGTTGTCATTTGCGTTAGGATTTTAAGAATAGGGATTGGTGTTCATAGTAGTGATACCAGTTTTCAAAGATCCTCATCTAAAAGGAGAAATAAATCCTTTGGGAAATTGTTTTCTTCTTGTGCAGCTTAAAATGTGATATAGGGGTATATAAAATGCAACGGAAGATGTAATAATGGCTTGCATTCTGTTGATGAGAGTAAAAGCAGTACCCTCAAAAGACTATATCATAAAGCAAACTTTTATTACCTAAGACTTAAAGTGCTGTTTTTCAGGACTTGCAGTAAAGAAATCTCTGATGCAGAAATGCATTTCTTGAATGGAAAAAGCGACAAAGTTTCCTTATTTGTTAAGATGGTTAGTTAATGTACAGAGATGACAAACCAGACGTTAGAATTATTCAAGCAGATAGTTTGTTTTCACCAGCTATACTTTGTCCTAGAAAGGTGTCGTGGCAGTTTCCAAACATGTCATCTAGGTTAAGCTGACAGCATGTATAATCTGTTTGGGAAATCAAATGTATGTGAGGGAACACTTTGGTTCAGGGTAGAAGTTGAAGTCTTGTTCATTAAGTAAATTAAGAGATTAGTAAAAAAATGTAATTTTGCTATTCTGAGAGATTTCACTTTACATTAAGATTGTTGAAGGAACTTACTTATTTTATGTATGTTCTTTAAGTAGAGTGGGAACCATGTAGACACATGGATGGAGGTGGTGGTTGGACCACCACCTCTATCCATGTGCTTACAAAGTCTCTGGTGCCCCTTTCTCCCATCACGGAATCATTTTGGTTGGAAAAGACTTCCAGCCTTTGTCTGATCACTACCTTGTCAGCTAGACCACAGCAGTTAAGTACTACATCCATTTGTACTTGATCGCCTCCAGGGATGGGGACTGCACCACTTTGTACTGGTCTGCTTCTGCCCTCAGCCATTCCCACATGAAAGTTCCCATGACTTTTGTTGGAGAGTTGTTTTTTTCCACAATGATACATCTCCACACTGAGAGGCAGCAGTTTCTGAGACAGTTACTGGTGGGACCGTGGTGCCAGACCCAGTGGCAGCACCAACCTCTTGATTCCTGGGATCTGCCCATCCCTTGGTTTCCGCACTGGCTGTTCAAGCCAGCTGGGACAACCAGCAGTGCTGTCTGAAAATAGCTCTTTTTGTAATTGATGTGTGCATTTTCAAATGTTTTCTCCTCACTGCATGGGGGTTTCTATCCCCCATGAGCCCATGTGAGCTCCCTAGTAAGACATGTTGAAAGGAAGGTGCCCAGTGAGAGGGTGGCATGAGAGGTCAGTCTTCACCTGACTTCAGCTTGTTGGTGAAACCTGTTTTCCCTGGCTGTGTAGATGGTACTCTGGGCGTGGCATGAAAATCGCAACAGATGTGGTAGAAATGCCTGAACACTGCTGAGCCGAGTGCTTCAGCTCAATGCCATGTATTATCTGCCAAAAGCTAGCTAAGAGAGGATGGCAGCAGCTGCCAGCTGGGCAATCATGTCTTCCCTTAGACACGTCTCTTCTGACTCCTGTAGATGAAAACACAGCAGCCCTTAGGTAAGTGCTGTTGTTTCAGCTGTGCCTCTGTGTGCTTAGAGTGATGTGTGTCTCCTTCCCTAGCTGGGTTGCTTCAGTTTTGAACAAGAAAACAGCCTTCTTCATTCACTGTGATGGTTCAGATATACTGATAACTTTATCTCTCTTATTTCTGAAGGCTGCAATTAAGTACGGCAAGAAGGTTTTATGCTAACGTTTGTCTAGGGAGCTTTTCGCTCCATCA